TAGGGTTCCCATGGACCCACACAGGAGCGAGGACCCACAACAACTGAAAAAAAGGAGCCACTCGGGCCAGCGAGTCATTGCAAGGGACTCACGCATGGCCTGTCCCATGGGAAGTGTTTGCAGCACTGGCGGTGGGGGACACGGGCCCACCTGGGGAACACTGAGGCACAGCAAGGACGGCTAATCTACCACCCAATCAGCATAGGACCACTCAGAGGAGACTGGTCAGGAATATAGAATTGCATGGGGTGCAGTTTGATGAAAAAACTCGGGCCGAGACCAGAGTTTCTACACAACCCAGGTGCACTGGAGCTCTCGAGAGCCAGAAGTACCTATAAAGTCAACCATTAAAACCTGAGCTACACAAAAAGCCTTCCCTAGGGAATCAGCAGCAAAGCAGCAATTTAGCTCAACCACAGAGCTCAAGTACTGGTCCCCACAGGAATTTCCTCCTTTTTAGAAGCAAAGGAAAACAAATTAGTTCCAGCACAGAGTTTAAATGGTGGGAACAGCAAATAATCCAACACAGAAATGAAGGAAAAAACAAACTACCCACAAGCAGAGACAAAGTTTCATATTAATAGTGAAGGTCTCATTTCACCAAAGAACACCTATAACACCTAGAAGGACCAGAAGTCCCCTGGACTACCAATCCAGAAAGGGGGGAGGGCTGGGGGCCACAGCAATGCCCCCTGATACCTGCAAACAATCCCAAGGGTGGGGGATGAAGGCCTGGGCTATGCTCCCTGACATGCACAGCCAGCCCAGCCACAACCATTGAGAGGCCACAGGAAATGCCTGGGGCTCTCCCAGCCAGGGCAGGGGAAGCTTCACGTACCAGCCACGCCCCCCCTCACCCAGCACGTGCAACCAGCCCAGCAACAACCACCAAACCGCAACCACCAAGCCACAACAACAAGGGCCCCTGGTTCACAACTTGGGATGGTGTGGGGTGAGGGCTTTTGCCACACCCCCCTGACATCTTCACCCAGCCCAGCAATGACCAAGCCACCGCTGGAAGCCCCCGGTGTCTCCCCTGTAAGAATGAGAGGGTTGCCACAGGCCTCAATCCCACCCCTCCTCCTTCCATCCCATTTCCTTCCCTTTCCTGTTCTCCCCTCCCTCCCAACTGCTCTGCAACAACATCCTAGAATGTAAAAAATATTAATAAAATTCCATTTTCTCTACGAAAAAACATTAAATTTGCAGCTACTTTTATTTTTTTTATTTTTATTTTTGTCTTTTTCCGTGTCTGGCAACGGATCGCAACCCTCAGTGTCGCCCCCGCACCGGACCGGGACCGGCAACGGGATCGCA